TGGATCCCCAGGGGCTGTGGATGGATCTCTGGATCCCTGTGGATCCCCAGGGGCTGTGGATGGATCTCTGGATCCCTGTGGATCCCCAGGGGCTGTGGGGGGATCTCTCCATCCCCCATGGATCCCCAGGGGCTGTGGATGGATCTCTGGATCCCTGTGGATCCCCAGGGGCTGTGGATGGATCTCTGGATCCCTGTGGATCCCCAGGGGCTGTGGGGGGATCTCTCCATCCCCCATGGATCCCCAGGGGCTGTGGATGGATCTCTGGATCCCTGTGGATCCCCAGGGGCTGTGGATGGATCTCTGGATCCCTGTGGATCCCCAGGGGCTGTGGATGGATCTCTGGATCCCCCATGGATCCTCAGGGGCTGTAAGGGGATGGCTGCCTCCCCACAGCCTGCAGAGGAATCTTAGGTCTGGCATCTGGAGCACCTCCTCCCCCTCCTTCTCCACTGACCTTGGTGTCTCCACGTTGTTTCCCTCACATGTTCTCACTTCCTCCTCTTCTCTGGCTAGAAAAAGCTGTTTTGAATTTTTTGTTCTGATTTTCTTCTTAAATCTGTTATCACAGAGATGTTACCAACCTTTCTAATTGGCCAAGCCTTGGCCAGCAGCAGATCCATCCTCAGTGCCATCAGGGATTGGATCTGCTGGACATGATGGAAGCTTCTGGCAGCTTCTCACAGAAGCCACCTCTGTGGCCCCCCGCTACCAAAAAGCAGGCTGTGCAAAGCCAAGGCAGGAGCTCACGTTCTCCAAGTGACAGCAGCAGAGCAGGCGTTGGCTGTGGGCTCACGGAGGGCAGATGTAGATCACAGGGGAAGATGTGTTTGTGGGCAGGAAAGACTCCCCCACATCGGTGGAACACTCTGAGCATTGCTGGGGCAGAGCTCAGCACCATTTTGGGGGTTTTTCAGAAAGAAAAAAAAACAGTTCTAATCAGCATTTATCCGCTTCCTCTCTCCCCTGACTTTTCTAGAGTGCTGACTCATGGAAAAATACCTTTTCCTGATGGAAATGTTCGGGGTGTCAGTGTGGGCAGGCTGTGGGCAGCTGGGCTCAGCTGGGGGGATACTGTGAGCCACAGCTGTGAGCCTGGGGGTCGGTCTGGTGCCACAAAACAAACCAGGGCAGAGCAATTCGAGGGCAGCAAACACCGAGGCAGCAGTGACATGGCTTTCCTGTGTGTGGGAGGAATTGCCCTGCAGGGATGGATGTTCTGAGGAGGTGTCTCTGGGCCAGGGCTCAGCAGGGCAGCTGGAAGGGAGCTGGCAGGAGGACTCAGCTCTGAAGGAGCTTTGTGCCTTTATGGCATTGGACAAGTGTTGCTTTCATCCCAAAAGTGTTCCTTCACACCTGTCTGACCTGTTGAGTTGAAGGGGAAGGAGGTCAGACCAGCTTAGGGACATGTTTTGTAGAGAAATGTGCTTAATAATGTGCCAGAACCACCTGAACAGCCACCCAACCCAGCCTGCCAAAGGAATGGGATAAACATAAAGTGGATTCGTTTAATAATGCAAACAACCTGAAATACACAATGAGGTAAAATGCAATATATACATTTGTACATGTTGGCAAGAAGGATCAATAGACTTTAGCTGCAGAAGGAACTGAAAGAGGTACATGGGTCACTTGTCTTCCTGAATGAGTAACAAGTAGGTGCTGGAGGGTGGAATGGAGGCACATTAACAACAAATGGTTACATACACGCTTTTACACATCTCTGTGACCTATTTGTTTAATAGAAACATAGATTATCCATTTCTAAACCTAATAAAGAACTTGCTAGAGCAAAAGAGCAATACTTATCCCAGTAGCCCTGAAGCTGTATTTCCTCTTTATGTTGCAGATGTCGGGGGTGGGTTTTGTTTCCCTTTTCCCTTTAGCAAGGCTGTATCTGCAAGGGGTGGGTTGCATCTGTTTTCTGAGTGCTGGCTTTGGGCTGTAGAAAGGCTTCATGGAACTCCCTGGTGACAAAGTAGTAGCAGACACTATCGAGGCAGCAGTTGGATGTGGCAATGCACCTCATCATGGAGGAGAAGTTCTTCATGACACAGAGCTGGAAACAGGTAGCTCCAACATTCTCCATGATGAACCTGGCGAATAGCCCAAGGTAGGCTGGCAGAAAACTTATCAGAAATACAATCAGATTTGCATAAACAATGTGTACGGCTTTCTGGATTGATTTCTCCTCCGGTGAATTTGTGTTCAGATGTTTCTTCAGGTTCCTGATGACTTCTGTGGAGCAGAAGGTCAAGATTGCTAATGGGAGAGTGCAAACGAAGAAAATGGCCAGCAGGCTGAGAGCAGCAGGTGTGGGGGTGTAGGTCTGGAAGCAGAGAGCTGCGTGTCTCTGCCAGAGCTGGATGGTGGCACCGATTATCACCAAAACCCACAGAAGCCCACAGAGGAGGGCAGCCTTTGACGGGGACCTGAAGGTCCTGGCTTTCAAAGGGTGCTTTATGGCAATGTATCGATCGATGGAGATGAATGAAATGATGTAGATGCTCACTAACATGTTGATAAAATACATTATCTCTGTAAACTGGCAGAGCTCCCCTCGGGCTGACTTGTTCCAGAGCAGATAAACCATGGAAGGCAGGGTGCAGATGACAGAGAAATCTGCAAAGACTAAGTTCATTACATACACCCTGGTTTCTGTCCACTTCTTCATCTTGCAGGAGAATACCCAGAAGGCAAGAACATTAAATAGTGCTCCAAAAAAGAAAATGAGGCTATAGAGAGCAAACTCAATGAGGCGAATGTGGCAATGCAGTTCTAGATTTGTGGTGCTGCAGTTGTTGGACACATTCATTGTCCTGAGCTACAGATGTTGTATGATGTTCTGAGACCTGAAATTGGAAAGGACATGGTAAGACCTCTTTGTAGCTGTAAAAGAAGCACATGTAAATATATATGTCCTTTGTTAATAATGTGAATTTGAGCTTTACAGAGCTGTCTTTCTCAATCAGCCTGTGGCATCCTTTGGCATCCTTTGTCAAGCTTTAAGTTCACTCAGTTTATGAGTGTGTCTCAGTGTACATCTCCAATAGGACATGGCAGACAGCCTTTATTAAATAGGGAGATCTTGAAGTCTGTGAGGACAGGAGGCAACATGGCGCTAAGAAGAGCCCCCATAGGTAGTGGGCACAACCTGTGACAAGGTTCCTTAAAACAGGCTGTGCAGGTGATGTAAAATTACCCTTACCTTGGTGTTGAGCTAGGCAGGGATTGCAGCAACCAAAACTAAAGCCCAGCACAACCCATGAGCAAAAGCTCTTCTGTCAGTCCTGCTGGTTTTGGATTCAGATTGGGGATGAAGGGCTAGGAGTGTGTAGCAGATGTCACTTGATAGAAATCCTCATGCTCTGACTCTAACTGGGAAGGTTTCTGAGCCTTGTGAACCCAGAGCTCCTTCTCCAAGCTGAGGAAAACAGCTGAATCTGCAGTCCTGCTCTCCCAAAGGCATGCTCAAAACCCTAAGGGAGAGAGTGAGGTGTGCTGCTCTCCACCTCTCCAGGAGAGGGATGGAGGATGGAAGGATTAACCTAATTTTAAGCCCATTTTTTCCAGGAGAGAGTATGAGTCTGCAGATGCAAAGCAGAAAGCCATTTCTGGAAGAGGGAACACCACTGCAGAACAAGGAGTTTGCTGTTAAGGGCTGAATTAGATGGCTCCTGCCCCAGGCAGGCACCCAGCCACCCTCAGAAATCCTTGTTAGAGCAGTAGCTGTTGAGCCTCTGTTACACTGGCTACAAGATGTTTTGCCAGAGTATTAGTTGTGTGAAGAGTGAGTTTATGGGCTGATAAAAATCATCTTTCAGCAGAGCCCATCCTGTGCAAAGTGGCTTCATGTGACATGCACGTGAAACAATTCTTCGAACTGCTGATTCTGAGTATCTGTCACTTCTGCTTGCATCTAAATGCACTTCAGGAAAAAAAAAATAAACAACCTTTCAATAAGTGTAAAATAAGTGTTTTAGCACTCTAACAGGAGAGTGAAGTGGGGAGGGATCTGGTGAAATCCCGTAGGGAAGAGACACCAGGTCTGCCTGGTTAAGCAGTTATTTGCCTCCACCAGCAATGCAGACCTTGTGGCCAGTTGGTGAGAGCACTGCCTGTAAATCAGAATTCAGTTCTGAGGTGACTGAAAAATACACAAATAACTCAGTTTCTGGCAGATGTGCAAGTGTCTTAGGCAATAGCAGACACTAGAGTGACTTGTTCTTGTATGCTCAGGTCTGGGTTTCCCAACAGAGGCTTGCTGCTCACTGCCTGTACCCTGTGAGGAAGGGGACACTTGTCCCCTGAGGAAAACCTCTCTGAACTATGGAAACAGCAGCAGGGAGCTGTCACTGGTTATGGTCACTGCTTATGGCACGAGGCAGAAGTCTGACAGCTGCACTGGTGCCCAGGTTTCTTCTCACTGCCCTGGTCTGCAGTGCCAGCTGCAGCCTCTGCAGAGGTGCAGCACAGGCAAACCACACTGCTGGGCTCTGCAGCGTCAGAGGGCTCTGGCCAACACTGCCCTTGGAGCTGGGGACCTGGCCCAGTACAGCTCCCAGCAGCAGGGCTCACAAGTGCCCCAGGCCAGTCCAGAGGCTGGGAGGAGGATGGTGGAAATGACCAGAGGGTTTAAAGCAGACCCAAAAACATTGATAGGGTATGACTGAGGAAAAAAATCTTTAAAGAGATGCAGCTTGACCAGCTAGCATATCCTGTGGCTGCTGGAAATGTATCTTGTGGGGCAGATGAAATGCCTGCAGCATCAGAGGGGCTAGGCTGCAACTTACAGCTGTGACAAAGGGATGGAGACAGCTGTGAAACAGCATCTTGCTGCTGCTGGGAGACCAGGAACAGGCTGGGGCTCCACAGACAAGGTCACCAGTACTGTGCAGGGTGTCCTGCTATCCCCACCGAAGGCTGGGGAGAGCTGGCCAGCAGCTGTCCCCCAGCACAGAAGCTGCTGAGCATCTGGGGAGGAAGGCCTGGGCTTGTTTCCTCCAGCAGCTCAAGAAGCAGGAGGCTTCTGCCAGACCCTGAAGAGAGGCTGGAGGAAGAGATGCAAGGATGAGAGGCTGAAGGCACAGTGGATGTTGCAGCAGCACTGTGGTGGCTGCAGCCAGTGTTTTTCCAGCAGGAAAGCAGCTGCACTGAAGGGGGAGTCTTGCATGGAAAATCCTCCTCCTTCCTTCTGGGGAGAGCTCAAAAGTGGTCAGGCACCAAGGGCTGAAGGGTGAATATGGTGGGTGAAATAAAGGGTGAATATGGTGGGTGAAATGGCTAAGGACAGCATGGGAGCCCTGGTGGGCGAGGGAGGGAACCTGGAACTGAGCAGAGGGAGAGCAAGAAGGGAAATGAGGGTGAAGTTGGGTACAGCACAGCATCATCTGCATCAGCTGCCCTCAGACCTGCCACCTCTATGGCAACAGCCCTGTCACCAATAAATGACAATAAATTCTTTTAAATGGAAGGGGTGGCTCTTAGCACATATTCAGTGAGGAGCTTTTCCTCTCTGTTTCCAAATAGCATAAAGAAATCTGCAGACTGCCTGTTCCAACCCTCCTGCTGCTGTTCACACCTCTTTCAAGTGCAAGGATCTCAAGAACAGCAATTTTTTCTTTTCCTTTTTGCAGCTTGTGTTCTTTCAGGCTCATCTATCACTGCATCCCTGGAAAACTGTAATATGGTCACCCCAACCATGATCTATTTGCTTTGATAGATGCTGGAAGGGGTCCTCTTAGACAAAACAAATTTGTTGGAATCACTTGTTTCCCATGTTGGGATGAATTGACTTCCAGTTCTCCGCTGCTGTGATATTCCAGGTAAAGTACCCAGGGAATACCTTGGAGTAAGAACAGAAACTGAACAGAAACTCAGAGATCACGACCTACCCTACTCCTGCCTCGCAGGGACCTCGCTGCCCTGCAGAAACCACGCTCAAAGCCTCCTCTGCCTCCCCCCAGGCACAGCAGGACCCTGCTCAGCAGTTCAGAGCCAGCAAGAGAGAAGGAAACAAAGTGATGTTACCTGCAGATTTAACGTGCCAGAGTCAGCAGCAGGTGCCACCGAGGCAGGGCACGCGGGCTCTGTGCAGCCCGGGCAGGGCGAGCGGGGCTGGAGGACGGGCACGGGCTGCCTGTGCAGGACAGGTGCCTGGCACCAGCAGCTCCCTGATACTTGAGTGTTTCCATAGCACCTCCTCCTCCTGCGTAAGAGCAGATTTCACATCAGTCAGGCTTTGAATGCCAGCCTTCTGGCCAAAGCAATGGTGGCACTACTTTACTTTAGCGAGCTGGCCGCTCTGCGGTTTCTGAAAGGGTGTGTTTGATGGCCTGCAGAGATGTTCAGCAAGTGGGCATTTGAAATGCTGCACCAAAGTCTAAGCTAGGTAAAGCCAGGAAGGTGCAGTACCTGGTCTGGATCACCCCATGCAGCTCAAGGTACACCTGAGTGTTGAGTTGTGCTTGCGCAGCTCTGGGCAGGGAGGTGAGCACACGGAGCAGCTTGGCAAGTAGTGTAGGAAAGCCTTCCCAACGCTCCTCAAATGCTGCACTCGTGATGGAGACAGTGTGAGGGCTCTGGCCTGCACCTGTTTGAGCACAGGTACAGCCAAACCATCAGAGAGCTCCAGCTGGCACACAAACCGAGGCCTCGGTACATCCCACGTGGGTGGCAAAGAGCTTCACTGGCAAACTCTGCATTGACAGAAGTGGAGGGGGCAGGCAGAGCCATAAACCCCAAAGGGCTCAGTAATGGGCTTTTAATTGGTGTCAGTAATCAGCTGCAAGTGGGGACTGCTTCACTGCACACTCAGCCTTGGTCCCTAGCCAGCTGTTGCATTCTTTGTTGCAGTGATGCACTGGTGCTCCTCAGTCAGCAGGATGAGTGCTCTCCTGGCTGTGGGAGCTTGAGAGAAAAGCAGCAGCTGGCTGGAGCTCGGGCTCTCACAGCAAAGGATGGCAGGATGCTCGCATGTCCCTGGCTCGGGAGGCACGGGGTGGCACCAGGCAAAGGAAGCGCTGCAGCACAGCTGTCAAACGAGGCTGTGCAGGGGAGAGCACCAGGCACAGCATCCTGAAGATAAAACTCCACCACAAGGCTTCTGAGCCTGCAGCCATCCCATAACCACAGAGATGTGCGTGCTGATCACAGCCCTCAGGAGGCAAGCAGGCATCCAGAGTCCTGGGTGTGCCTGTCACGGGAGGAGCAGCAAGGCAGGAGCCACGACACGTGTCTGTGAACCAGGCTGATAAGAGCCCTGGACAGCATCTGGCATTTGTAAGGTGCTGTGGAGGAGGGGCAGGGAAGCACGGTGACACGAAATGCTGCAGTGGCTCTTGGGGTCACAGTGTGAAAGAGGGACAGGAGGGTCACTGCAGGTGTTCAGGGGCAGGAAAGACCTGTGTGAAGAGAGCCACAAAGCAAAGGTGGTGGGAGCTGTTTGCCTGTGGTAGCTGCGGCTGCATTTGCTAAGGAGGCTGATGCTGTGGGTTCTTTTTGAGTTAGCGCACACGGTGATGGTCTTGTCCACCATCAGTGAGGCTGGAAGGAACCTCCTGAGGTTCCCAACAACCCTTTGCTCAGAACCACTGTCTGAGGCCATGCCCTGTTTGGTTTTGAATAGTTTGAGGGATATCCCCACACGTTCTCTGGGCAACCTGTTCTAGTGCTTGATCATTCTGAGACAAAACTTTTTTATGTTTTCACAGACTTTCCTGTATTCCAGTCTGTGCCTTTTGTCTCTTGCCCTCTCAGCAGTGTCAGGGAGAGGGCAGGAGGCAAAAGGCACAAACTGAAATATAGGAAAGTCTG